CCTGTATAATGATGCCTTCCTTGCTATCACTTGTCATTGGATCTGCAATACTACTTGGTCAATAAAAGAAGTTATTATAGGCTTCGAGCCATTGAACGGTCCCCACTCATCAGAAAACTTGGCAAAAGCATTCTTAGGTGTTATCGAGGAATTTGGTCTTGGTTCCAAGTGGGATGAAATGGTAATAAAATCAAATGTAAAAATAAAGAGATGGATAAGAATATAGTTGAGAATCTTTTTATTGTTCAAATTTGCTCATATTTATATGTTTTGTCTATCTAATGTAATGATGTTGTTCACTAGATCATTCTAGTACTATGTTTCACTAACTTTGATTAAAGGATGATTGATATCCAATTGTTCAAGTGTGTATATACTTAGTTCTAGATATTTCTTTATATACCTAGCAATAGGTGTATTATCCTGTTTAGTAATCATTCTTCATCTTTCTTCTGTATTCTAGATTATTAGTAATGAGGAACGAATCAAGAGTGATATAGTGTGTTATTGGTTATATCATGTTTTATTATGGAATGGTGTTTAACCAGTTATTTATGAATGAGTGAATCTATCATGTATTAGTGTGGTTCACCACACCAAGCTTTTTACAATTACCACTGATAACGCATCTAATATGACAAAAACGGCTCGTATTATCGAGCAATATTGCATGGAAAAAGGATAGTAAGTTGAATTTATAGAAATATATTTTATATTGGAATTATGAACATATGAACTGAAGCGCTAATATAAATAAACATACCCTGTTTTTAGGCCATTCCATGTAAAACATCATCATATCCCATGCCTTGGGCATATCCTTAACTTGGCCATCCAAGATATCTTGTGGTGGGGTACCAAAGCTCCAGATACTGAAGATGAAGACGATTCTGATACTGAAAATGAAGAAACTGGAAATGATGTTGTGGATGAAAGTGCTGGTATTACTTTGCTTGAAACCAATACTGGTGATCTAGACCGTGAGCTTATGAGTTCTATTAATAAGCTGCAAAAAGGGATCACTAAAATAAGGTATGTTACTTCCTTTTTGTTTAACAATAAAAGAAAAGAAAAGAAAAGAAAAAGTACCCATTTGATAAAAAAAAAGCAATAAAATAACCATCCCAATTTTCAATATATAAACAGATCCTCACCTCAACAAACAGAGAGGTTTATGCATCAACAAATGCTAGAATTAGGTTCTGACTTGAAGCTTCTACTTGATGTACCAACAAGATGGAATTCTACATATACGATGTTGGCATGCGCAACCATGTTGAAGGCACCATATAACATCATGTGTGCATCTATTTAGGAGTTACAGTCATTCTAGTTGGATGATAATGAGTAGACATGTATTGAGCAAATCAAGAGCTTGCTCATCAAGTTCTGGGAAGCAACAGTTGCGCTTTCAGCAAGCAAAGGTCATACAACAATTAACTAGGCAGTTATATATTACAATTTGGTTATAGATTCCTTGGAAGATGATGTGATTGATGGTTATCCTCCAGAATTACAAATTGCAGCCAGGCATGGGTTGGCGAAGCTCAAAAAATACTACTGCAAGGTGGATGACATGCATATTTATGCTGTTGCAATGGCAATGGACCCCCATTTGAAGTACACCTGGTGGGCAAGAAGTAATTGGGAGCATTATTACCAAATGGAAAACCAAAGGATGGTATGAGAAACTTAGGAAGCATTTCCTAGATCGACATCTGAAATGGTGCAGACTAATGAGGATTACCAACAGCTACTCAATGTTTATCAGGCTATACCTCAGGGCAATAAACCGGAGGCTTACATTGCTGAAAATGTAAGAACACTGGTACTAAGACTACCTGGTGTAAAACCAGCAGAACTTTCATATTGGGAAGCTCAATTATAGTAGCTGAACTTATTACAAATAGTAGCCCAATATTTGGCAATACTAGTTATATCTACTCCCTCTGAATGTGCATTTTCGCAGACCCACCTCCTATTACCACATACACATAACCAATTAAAGCCAGAGACTATCCAAAGGCTTATGCTTTTGGATTCTTAGTGCTCAATAGGCTTTGATGCATAATTTCTTTCTTTTTTTATTATTATTTTATATCTTTTTATATCACTTTTATTTATACCACATATTATTTCTATATTATTATCTCTTTTTTTTTACTTACCTATATTTTACTCTTTTTTCAGTAATTACTATTATATTCAATAAATATATCTATTTGATTATTTTGAAGTATACATATTTTTTTATATCAATAACAGATCATTACTTTCTAGATTTACTTTTTATTTATAGAATCATAGTCTTTGAATTATAATGTTACTATTACATCACTTCTCTAAATTACTTAGTCAGTTCTATAGTTCTCTTATGTAGAACTGATTCTAGTACAGTATGGCTCCTTGTAAGAACTATACTATATTTCACAGTTTAGTTCCAGTTTAGTTCCAGTTCTTTGGTTCTTATGGGGAACCCTAGTATATAATACTTACTAAGTACCTACACCAGAATTATCTTCTTTTACAATCCAATACACATATGGTATAGAACTGGATTATTAAAGATAAAGGCTATAATGTTTGCTTTTTTAGCATTTAATACTATATATATAATATATAATATGATTTAAAATATTATTCATAATAAAGATATCAATTTCAAAATATTTTTTATTCTATTTTATAGTAGTGTAATCCTTAGTTTTAAGATAGGACTTAGGTGGATTACAGGTAATAGGTAGTTTAATATAGTGAGCACCAGTAGTAATTAATATATACTATAATGATATATTTAATAAAATAGTCTTCAATTATTGTAGAAATTAGAAGACTTATATGTAAATTGATTAGATCAAGTAGTTAGATAAAATAAGGCTTTTTAATAAGCAATTGGATAGATATAAATTGTATCAAGAATATAAAACAAATATGATTATTCAATATTTGAGTAATCAAGGGATAAGGATGTTAATTTATTCTTTTAGTAAAATGTTTGATGATTATTTCAGTTCAAAAATCCTAGCCTTTTATACTTTTTCTAAAGCAGTACAGCAACCAATTATTCTTAGTAGAAGACAACTTGGCAAGGAATAATATCTAATTATATTGCATATATAAATGAGACAGAAGGTTATTAGTTGGCCAAGATCCTTAGATGCATTACCAAGATAATACTAAGATCCTTGGATGCATTACCAAGATAACACTAAGATCCTTAGTAATAGAGAATAATGTTAAAAGTAATAGAATAAACAAGAAGGTTGAGTAGGACCAAGAAGTAACTATCATATTCTAACACTATACTCTATAATAAATACTGATATTACACAAAAGGCACAGCCTGAGCACATATACAAATAAGGAAACTCAAATAATCCTTGTGTAAAAAAGGAAATTAGTATAATCGCATAATGATGTACTACCTTCATATAACTCTCTAAAAAGAAAATATCAAAGAAGATGTCAAAGATAAAAGGCACAGCCTTAGACCTATCCTTATAACTACTCTTATAAACAATAATAATTATCATATCCCAAAGGTCCCAATTCATCTATCCAGAATATATAATAGTATAAAATAAGTAACTAAGCCCACATCTTTCACAGAATAGAAAAAGTATAAATAAGCCATTGTAAACGTAATTGTAGAAAAGTAATTCAACTTTTATTGTAAAAATCTTTCTCTTTATTAAAAAACCTATAACAAAGTCTCAAAGGATTTATATCATCCATTTTTATCTTTTATTCTAATCTAAAATTAACCAAATTCCATAGTAACATCATTTTATAATTAAAAATTTCAATATTAGATATCAAGGCTAGATTTAGGAATAATATGCAGGTTATATAATTATAGATAGATATATGATCAATAAGTTGGTTACATAAGTGGAAAAAAAGGCCTTTGGCTTTATAGATTTCACTACTATTTCTAATACAAAATAATAATAAAAATAAAAGGTACTATTGTATCCAACATACAATAGCTTCATAATAAATAATAATTCTTTATTATTATTTTTATTATTACTGTCATCATTCACTCTATATCTTACTTATTGTGTGGTGATTCTATTTAGATAATTACTTATATTACATATAGTATTGCACCATCCTCTTTTACATATTATTAATTATGCTGGATCATTCAATCCTTCTAATGATATTATTCATAGTCTACTTAAATATACTGTCCTTATAATATGCAATCTAAATGATGCAATCTATATTCTAATATTATACCATAATGTGCAAGTTGTGATAGTCTATCTATGATGAGCACTTTCTTATAAATAGAGAGATTATTTTTTATCTTAATAAACTTCAGTTGATTATTTTTGGGTCTCATTGACTTATCTTGTCTCCTTTTATTCTTTTTATTAATTGATTTCTCTCTAATATAATAGGTACTAATAATGATAATAATAATATAACTAATATAAATAATAATAATATGGGAAAGATATAAAAATAAAATAAATTGAAATAAAAATATATAAAAAGAAAGAGGAGAGTGGTAATTATTAAGGATTATAGTAGTCTATAATAATTATTACCTTTATTAATTTGAATATATAGGTTTTATTTATATATTTATATCTATTTATATATATTTAAATTCTTAGTTTTTAGTTCTTAGTTCTGCCTATAGTTCCTTAGTTCCTTTATAGTTTGGTTTAGTTCAATTCTTTTAAATTATAGTTTAGTTTAATTCCTTAGAAGAATTGAACTAAACTAAACTATAAGGAACCTTATTATATTTAATTTCCTACTATAATACTAAAGGGGAGAAAATAATATAGAAAATAAAAATATAAAGATAATAGATTAATATAATGTATCCTAATAGATGAAAAAGGAATTGACATAATTAACCTTAAAAGAAATAATCATCTGCCTAAGTTAATAATATTGAAGGAGTAGACTTTTGGTCTAGACCCTCATTGTCAAATGAGTGAGGTCAGAAGATATACTATGCAACACATTAGACCACAAGGGGTCTTGTGGCCTAATGGATAAGGCGTCTGACTTCGAATCAGGAGATTGTGGGTTCGAGTCCCATCAAGATCGCATCTGATCTTTCTTTTCATCTGAACAAGAATTCAATTTTTTATTTTTTTTTAATTTATTATCAAAGAAAACTTTTTTTGACAGTTTTTTTTTTACACGAATCGTTGGCGATAATGTTTTTTTTTTGTTATGATTTTCCATAAAAAATGATGATTATTATCCATTATTACTACAAATGTATTTTAGAGAAAGATAATGCTGTTTTATATAATGATAGGGAAAAAACTAACTAACTATTATACATGCAAGGCTTGTTTTTATTTACATTTCAAGACTCTTTGTTGTGTTGTTAACTTTATTAATTGATATGATATATGACCTGAAAGAATTACAAGTTGAATAAAGTAGTATGAAAATTTGTTTGCTGCATTATTTAGTAAAATGTAAATAATAACCTATAAATCCAAACATGGTTATTTAATATAAAAATAAAGATATGATATATAATAAAAAGCAAATTAAAAGAGAAAAATAGCTTATTTGTATACTGAAACCACTATAATACCCATGAAATTAATGACAATTAAAGAAAAATAATGCTTTTGTATCACTTAAGTTAAAGACAATGTTTACTAAATTATTTTTTTTAAATTGTTTATACTACTAATAGCGAAATAATTAATGTACTAACTGGTATAGCTACACTGAATAAATGAATATTGCTAAGTTTCTTTTGATCTTAAAAACAAAGATTATTTTGTGGTACCTTTTATAAATGTTGCATCTCAATTGCTTTAGAAACGACATAATATTAATACATGTTGTATCCAACATACAATGGCTTCTTAATTATTATTATTATTCATAATAGAAAACGCTATTCACCCTTTGCCTCACTTGTGTGGTAATTATATTTGAAGCACAGCTACTGTGACACGGATTATGCTTTTCTCCTAGGCATATCGTTCATTATGCAAATGCGTAATTCACTTCTTGATTCCCACCATCATCATTCACACGTTCTATAACTTCCGTTATTCACACAGTTTTATAGCATACATAATTTAAATGATGTGGTCCATAAGAAATATGATACTGTAATACACATGTAGTGGCAGTCCATCCATGATGAGCAAATTAGTATAAATAGAGAGATTATTTTTGAATCATGTCGTGATAATTATGGCGGATCAATACCAAGCCAATAGAAATGGAGACAACAGAAGAGTAGTGATAAAATAAAGAGTAACGTGACAGATGTCGTTTATTGTTTTAATGGTCAGGGGTATTTATATGTTTTCTAACTACTTGTGATTATAATAAATTATATAATAAAACTAATGATAATAATATGTATACGTGGAATAATGGAGGATGCGATATGTGTTCATGACTGTCAATTGAATACGTGTTCGAATAATTAATAAGATGATAGATGATAAATACGTGGCATAATAAAATGCAAATACGATAGCAGCGATAAGGTGTTACAAAAATAAATTAAAAAAGGAAATGGTAGTAACCCTTATTTTTAGTTACGACAATCATAATAAAACTACACTGAATTATTTTGGGTCTCGTTGACTTATAACATCTCCTGCTTATTTCTTTTATTTTTGATCTTATTGATACAACAATACATAATAATAGCTATATAGTAGTTATTATTTTCTGTAGTATGCATCATAAAAAATTGCTATGGTTCTTCCTTAAAAAAATCATATTTGATATACTAATCTTCTTGCTCAAACAACATCTAGTATTTACCTACAGAGAAACATATTACATATTACCTATCAATAATTTTTAGACCAAAGTTGAATTAGTAGTTATCAGCATATTGTATTTTAGTATTTAATAAGTGTTCAATAAAAGCATAACTAAAATAATAAACCGTTTTTACTAATAGGAGTATGTTATCAATATTTGCTGCATTAGATCATGGTAGGATAAGCTTTTTTTTTTTTCTGATAAAAAAAGAACCCGCCAAAAAAAAAAAAACTGTACTTGTTGTGATTATGTACTACCTGAGGATTGAGGAGAGTATCTATTATAATAATTTATTTTTTCTCTCTCTTAAATCAGGAATCAAAAATATGTCATGTTCCTGATACTTAATCTGTCATATCCAGAGGATCGGCATATCAACATCATTATTTATGTGTAGCGATTTATTTCAAATACTAGTGTGAGATAGGTATTATGTTCCCTCTCTTTCTTTTGTAGTAAAAGCTATTATATTAAGAGTCTCACGAATCCTTTTGTCTATTTTTCTATTTCGCATTCTATCGAACACTACATAATCAATAATAAATAATACACCAAAAAATGAAACGAAAAGATATATCAAGTCATATTACATCGCGAAAAAAGTGTCATTCGAGTGATCTTCAACATATTTACATTATATAATGCTGCAATATGTTATTCATTTTACACCATATTCAAAACAAGACATAACAAATGAGTTAGTAGATCCAGCATTAATCGAAAATAACATGCTTTTATTATATAACCTCTGTCTAACAATGATAAAAAAAATAACAAGGTGCTACGTAGAGGTTTGATGTATATGTATACAGGTAATCCAAAGCTTCTTAATGCTCAAACTTTATTCGCTTTTTCATTTATATAAATATGGTGATACAAGACAAAGATCGTACCCCATTGTAGTTATTGATCATTGTCCTGTAATTTTTTTTTTTTTACCAATAAAGTTACACCATATAATTTAATAACAAAATAACCATGGTCCATAACGTCAAAAATAATAACGTAAAAAATATACAGCAATCTATTTACCATTTCATTATATAAACTAGTTCAACAGTAATAAATAAATAAAATGATCAAATGTAAAATAATAATAATAAAAATAAAGTAATTGAGGTAGACAAATTATATATAAGCTATATATAGTATGTAGAAAAAACTAATTAAATATGGGAATTGGAGGAGAGATATTTTAAGAAAGGATATTGAAACCTGTAGCAAGGACAACGGTCATTACTACAATAGTATAAGCCAGGTTGGACCCTGCGGCAGCACCTTCAGGGGATTCATCATCTCCATTACTACTTCCACCATTATTACTAGTATCACTTGGAATAGCGGGTGCGATGCCAATGGTTTGGGTACCCATATTATGAACGACATAAAATGAACGCATGACTGATTGTCCCAGAATAAAGTTGACATTGGATCCAATCAATGCTGTTTGAGGGAAAGGGGCAATGCCAAAGGCACACTGAGAGGCTTTTTCTGGAGTTTCTGCATCATCAATAGGGACAATCAATTCTCGCAAGGAAATGGTAAGGTTGAGTTGATTTTCAGGTAATGTTGCTTGTTGGGATGTAGCGACAATAAATTCAACTGTTTGATCTGTTTGAGATGCTAACGAACAATCCACACGATAGATACCATTGAAAACATCGTAAATCGATCGAGGATCCTTTTTCGTAACACTTTGGATCAAATCATGCGCGACCTGGTCAGGTACATAGGTGAATGTTGTACCTGTATCTAATACAAAACCTTGTGCTGAATTAAAATTGGCGCGATAGCCAGATGATGATCGAATATCCACACCAGCCAATGTCCAATAAATATAGGCAGCATCAAGCACTTGACCTGTGATATCAGTCATCGTATAGGCAACGACGGGAGCATATCGTAATTCGCCTGAATATTTTGTTTCATCAATACCACCAAAAGTCACTTCACCTGAATAGCCATAATGGAAAGCGCTGTTGAGATAGACTGAAAAAATAGGTTGAGGAATCAAGTTGTTGTTGGCAAGGTTGAAAACAAAAGGAACGTCTGAACTATATCCACGTAATGCGTTCATGGATGGAAATCCAAAACCCATAATTCCATTACTGTAGCCTGCTGAAGTAGCACCCAGCAAATCATTGGTTTCATTGGCTAAGCCAACTGCTTGTCCAGGTACCGCTAATCCACCCACACTGACTGTGTCCAAAACATAGGTACCATTGGCCATACCAATACCATATTCGATCTGAAATGCTGCGCCGGTTTGGTTCAATGACGTTGATTGAGATGCATCAAATCTTTCATAAGGGCACTTTAAACTGGAACAATTCGTGGATGGTACCCATAAGGTAGCACTATGTACACAGCAAAACAGTGGAACGTTGCTCAGCACAAATGATATTCATCAACTTTTTTTAATTGCATTCTTCTTTTTTCTTCCCAACAATGAATTAATTAAAAAAAAGGTCTACCTTCCAGTATCCATTGTGACATTGAATTTTTGAGGTGGCGTTCCTATATCGACTTCAAGAAAGAATTCACGGCCTGCCAAATTAAAAAGAGGTTCACTGCTTCCTTGGCGTTTTTCTTTTACAGATCGTCTGATTTGAGCAAGGTGACCTTCTCGATTTCGCACTAACGGAACTGTCACTGGTTTGATCTCCGAGGCGGTCGTTATAGCAGCAAATAGCGCAAGTCCTATACCTGATATTAGCATGAGGCAGGAAATAGAAATATAAAAAAAGGAGTGGTGGGTGCGTAAAAAATTGGGTAAAAAAAAAAAAGAAAAAGAAAAAACGAAAGAAAGTGAAAAAAAACCCCAAGAAAAAAAAGGAAAAATCAATTAAATAAAAAAGCTGATGATGGTGTTACGATGAAAGAGTGAGTCGAAGGTAAAGAATAGTAACACTTATATCTTTCTTCGGAGTTCTTAAAGCTAAACCTACAAAGTAAATTTTATGTAACCAACAAATGCAGTATCAAATCATGAATTTTACCCAAGAGAATTTATTCAGTGATAATAGGATTTGGATGTTGTGTAATAAGGCTTATGAAAATTCAATACAGTTTTATCCATTTTATTATTTTATTCTTCTTCTACGACGGTAAATCCAAGTTCATTTCCAATCGATGTTTCCAATAATTTCTCAGCTAATTCTACATTAGCACCGATAATTCCTTGATCTGATTCTTTCAAACGTGCTTGATTGAAAGAGCTGCGCCTCCGTCTTGTAATTACCCAAATGAGTCTGGAAACAAAAGGCCGCAATTTACGAACAATGTCTTCC